CCCCCCAACAAACATAACACGCCTCCTCCCCCAACCCAACGGCCAAACGGCAACCAGGCAGGCTTGGACCTGCTGCCATGGCAACAGCAAAGCCAACCAGTTAAATCCTGGTGAGGCCAGAATGCATAATGCAGTTGCCTAGCGACTAGGGCAATAGAGGGAGAGAGGAACCTGAGAAAGCAGTGAGCTCGGCTGAATCCAGCACCCACGGACAGTCTGGACCACCAGCCAATTACGGCTTTTCAGTTCCTGAGTGTGATACGGTTGCCTGGCAACCCAAATCGACAGAGTCTGAGTCTGGCGGATGGTGGATTTCACACTAAAGCAGTGGTGCAGACTTAGACTGGTACAAAAGTAACAAATCATCAGCCAATTACTGACTCTCTCCTGGTGCTGATGTTGTCTCCTAGCAACACCCCCCACCTCACAGGTGCCTTGGAACCAATTAATTACATTTCCTCAGTCAGCTGGAGATAGTGAAGCTAATATGGTCTCTGAGGTTGTTAAATCTGCAGGGTAAAAGCCAGTCATGGACCATTATTTTTCCTGAAGCATCACATTTCTTGAGTCAAAGTACATCTTTTACTAGTTAAAAGTCTCTTTATACTGTTTCTTATCTGCTTAAAAGGCTCCTTTCAGAAATTCAGCTGAAGCTGCATCACTTCCGCTTGGGCCATTTAATTCTCTGCTAATCTTACTGTGTCAATAATTTATGAAAATATCCAAAAAGAGGATTAAGCTAATTACATCTCTGAGCCAGTCTTTTAATGAACAAAGGGGACGCTCACAACATTGTTTTGGGTCTTAATGAACAAGCGAGAGCTCACTGCACTGTGCCTTTTAATGAACAAACAGCAGCTTGCTGCACTGCACTGCACTGCACTGCACTGCGTCTTTGAACGAACCAACGGGAACTCAATGCACATCCTTATTTCACTCCTCTCTAATCAAGCAACCGGTGACCTTCCATGGCTAAGCCCACCTTGGAATTAGATTTGCTCTCCTGACCACTAACTTCCCCTCTGCCGAGGTTTAGCATTAGCATGTTGCACGCCGGTGAGCAGCGGTACTGTAGACAGAATCTTAGAACGGCCAGGCAATGGATGTTTCCAAATACCAAAAACGCAGAGATTGTATTTGTGGCCTTGGTAAGAGCAGTTGTTCTAACTTGCCTCCCAAGAACTTTAGGGCGCAATGAATCATGGGATTGATCTTGCTTGGCAAGGATGCAACCAATGTATCCTTGATATTTGGGGAGGGGCAAGAACAACATGCAGGCATTTTTACCCTCCCCTGTGTCTGTTCTAAGTACTGGATCTGGTCTTTGGCAATGGAAGGCGACATAAAACACAGATACGGTGAAGTACGCATACTGGAAAACACCCAGTGTTAACCGTCTCGGGCACAACAGGTAAGGCCACGTTTTGAGAGGTAATCACTGCCCTGCACAGCTAGTGGAGCATTGCATTCTGGGATCTCTCACCTGTGTGAGTCCTCTGGTGGGCCTTCAGGTGGGAACTCTTGGTATACACCTTCCTGCAGCCATTAAACTGACAGCGATGGACTCTCTTCTTGCTCTCTGGTAGATCGCCTCCCCCTGGCAGGACCCCTGGTCCATCCTGTTCGCCCTCATCGCTCAGCACGCCGTGGCCCGTGAGTGAAGGCAGCGCCCGGGCTGCTACCAGCCTGGCCCCCGCCAGCCCCACCCGCTTGGCCACCAGCTTAAGCGTCAGTGTCCCCTCAGAGGCGGATACGGTGGGTGTCACCGCGGGCAGTGGTGGTGGTTTAATCTGGTGGTGGCCCAGTTCCGGTGACGAAGGCGGCGTGAGAGATGTTACCGCACTCAGCTGGGCGGCGTTGACCCCGCTGGGGGGGGGTTGTGGCACGGGCTGTGTCTGCGTGCCGGACCGCTCGGCCGGACCGGGCACCAGCGGATCCGACAGCTCATCTTCACTGTCCCCCTTCAGGAAGGCCGGCGTGAGAAGGCCCTCCAGACCCTCATCGAAGAGCTCAGACAGACGCTTGGGCTCCGTCTGCAGGTACCGCTCCAGCTCCAGGCACGTCTGCGGCAAAAAGACAGACCTGAGTTCAGCCCAAAATATCCATTTTCAACAAGCTCAGTATAACCCAACACACAGTATTCTAACACACCAAAGTGAAAACCAGCATGTCATCCAAACTAAAGTCAGCAACAAGCCTTGGCAGAAAACAGGTCCCATTTACTAGTCTTCAATCATAAGTCCCTGTCACATCTAAGAGAACCAACCTGTCTGGTTTGGACCAACCTGTCAAGAATCTGGAAAGTTGTAGCATGCTAACCGTAACCCTAATCCTAATCCTCAAACTCATAATCCAGTTTAGCATAACGTTTCCACACCAGTCATTTCCCAGGGATTTCAGCTTGAAGACCAAACTGGTTAAGACTGAGTGCATGGGTCCAAAAGACCTGCTACAGCAGTGATTCATGGCAGTTGCCTCGATGCATGAATCGTCCTGGACAGAGATAGACATTTCAGGTCCAGAAAGTAAAACTCCAGACCAAGATTTTGTTTCAACCAACCAGTTGAGCATAAAGACTCACAGTCACTCAGTACTCAGCTGGTTGGTCGAAACAAAATCTTGGTCTGAACTTTTACTTTCTGGACCTGAAATATCCACCTCTGGTGCTGGAACTTCTGACCATGGTACCCAGAGAAGCAGGACAAAAACAGCCTCGCGGTTTGTTTCATTCAGACAGAAAGAAGGCAGTTTATTTACAAAACCTTCCTTGTAAGACTATTTCTTTTATGACTTTTCCATGCCACTCCTAGGTAATAAACAGGATTTAAAGCAAATGACTCAAGGGGCTGAAAATACAAGTAAGAAAGCGAATACAAAATGATGGATTCCTTCCTGTAATAAAATAACAGGGTTTTCAAGGTGGAGATCCATTTAAAATGATCAGTTTGGCTCTTTTATCCATTTTCATAAGCTCTAACTAGCCTTATATTGATAAACAGGTATTAAAACCAGAAAGCGCACATTGCATTTTTAGGTTCTGTCAATCTGACAAATAAACATAACACTATTTTGCAAAAAAAAATGAAATGCTCTCCTTTTAAAGAGGACAGAGCTTTCCCAATCTGAAAGCTCATCTGCATATAGACATAAATCAGTGATTTTCTGGGGCAGCTATTAAAAATGAACTTGAGTGATAAGCACATCTTTATTAAATTGCACAGTCTATTATAAAATTAGCATCTGCATTCAGGCACAGCTTTGCCCGCCTCATTTTTTTTGTATAAAGTGTCAACACTCGCTTTCATTTAATCTTTCTGTATATCTGTGTGTCCAGCCAAGCACACAGATATTTTCCCCTAAATTATATCAGTTGGTGAAGCAAATCGTGTTCCCACCAAACAGCAATTAATTACACTGCAATGCTATTTCCCAGTCAAACTGCACATAATTTACGGTCTGTGTTTAACTGTAGTTTATGATTGTAGTTGACTACTGCATTAACTGATTATAAAAAAAATACATGCCCCTCTATTGGCAAGAAGCAGGCAAAGCAGGATAACATGCTGAAGAGCCTGAGCTATCGCTATGAGCACAGAATGGCACTGTCTGAAAGGCTAGTATAGACCCACATAGATTCCAGTGCAGGCCCACGTGGAGTCCAGTGCAGGCCCACATGAAGTCCAGTGTAGGCCCACAAGAAGTCCAGTGCAGGCCCACATGAAGTCCAGTGTAGGCCCACATGAAGTCCAGTGTAGGCCCACATGAAGTCCAGTGCAGGCCCACATGAAGTCCAGTGTAGTCCCACATGAAGTCCAGTCCAGGCGTTCGGGGCCCAGACTATGCAAGTTTGCATGCAGGTCTTTGCTCAACACCTCTGAGGAGTGGTATGGAGCCCCATGGGTTAGAACTACAACATCCACAATGGGAATGTTGCCTGGTTCAAATCCCAGGACCGGCAGACTGATGCTGCCGTTGGGCCCCTAAGCAAGGCCCCTAACCCCCCCCCCAACTCCTGGGGTGCTGGGGGGGGGGGCTGACTGCACACTGGGACCCCAGGCTTCACTCTAACCTGCATATGCATCTCTGTGTCTGAAGGCGTGCAAGATGGGAGAAGCGAAAAGACAATTTCCCCCGCAGATAAATAAAGCATCGCTATTCTGTTTTATTCTGCCATCAAAGCACTACAGTCCAGGACTGGCCGGTCTGCTTCCACCCCCCGGCCGGTTAGTGCCTAGCTGAGAAAGGTAAGCAATGAGGTAAACAAGAGCAAGGCAGCTGTTTGCTAAGCCTGCGAGGATAATGAGCGCTATGCTGCTGAGCTGGACCGTCTCTGTGCTAGAGAGTACAGTCAGCAGCTCCTGTAAACCGGTGCACTGCGATCCCCACCAGCATCTTACCAAAGAATCGCTCATTCTTTCTAAACAAGCAAGTTCTGATGAAAGTGCTCCAGCCGTTTGAATCGGCACCTCGACGCAAAAGTGATGTCTCTCTCATTTCCCTGCACACCGTGCATCGATGAGTAATTAGCCACTCAAATGACCCGATGAAGAGAGACTCTTTATTCAGCTAATTTGCTGATGTTGAAGACAGAGAGAGAGAGAGAGAGAGAGAGAGAGAGAGAGAGAAAGAGGTAAGTACATATTACATTATGGAGACCGAATGTTTCCACAATGTGATAGAAACCGGGTGTTTTGACATTGTGGGGACCACAAGGGGAAACTCAATTTTATGAAAATCTAAAAAACTGAAAAGGCAAAAGTCTTGTATTTTATTTGGTTACTTATGGTTAAGGGCTGGGTAGGGGTTAAGATTGTCATTGTTGGGATTAGGGTTTTTCCCATAGAAATGAATGGATGATACCCACAAAGATATGAACACAAGCTTGTGTGTGTGTGCATGCTAAACATGCAGTGTACACAGTAACCCTTGCCCTGGCTGTGGAGAGCTCACACTTAGCTGCACAGTCAATGAATGCTGCAGGAAACAACAGCTCTCATTCATTTCCAGAGTGACTTGCTAGTAGCATTTTAGCATGCAGCCTGAGGGATATTAGCATGTCTGCTGGGATGACAGTGGCTGGCAGCGTTTCCAAAACCCCGTGCCGCTTAGCTGGGGCCCAAGTTGAACAAACGGGATTTGTGCATTTGTGTCTGATGGCTTGAACAAGCTTTTGTTTAAGTCGAGAGTGTCTGTGGGCTGCGGGAACATGTGCGGACCTTGCTCCAACCCCGGGATTTCCAAAATTAACAGAAGAGCGTGACTCAGCCCTCTTACATGTAGAAATGTGCAGCCTTAAATAAAGACACCGGCCTATTAAAAGACATTTTACCTTTAAAATACTTTTTATATGCCTAATATATCACTTTATTTTTAGCGATGGCCTCAGGATCCTGGCTGAAATGGACCTGTGTTTGCAGGTGCTTTTCTGCTGGTAGCAGATGTGTACTGTCACATGACCTTGGTTCACTGTAGCTACCAAAGCAGAGTCACCACAGTTCATAGTATCCATGTGACACATAAGTTTACAAAGGGCTTTCGGGATTAAAATGAGTCCGTCCTGGGCCTTTCGTCACAAGGCAGACTTGTGGTTGAAACACACACACATGCACGCGGACACAAACTCATGACCAAACACGGTACATCTTTAGCTCCAGATCTAATCAAAACCTCAGAACCCTTCAGGAACGCCCAACGCCCCCATCCCTGTTGCTCAGTAATACATTTGTCACAAGCGGTAATTTACAGTTTTTCTCAATTGCTTTGGAGCATTTCTCAAATGACAATTAACTTTTGCAGAAGAACACATGCAATCCCCACAGCCTTAATGTCATTGCTGCACATCAGAACACCGTTTCTTATTGCTTCACACAAATTTCCAAACGTTGTAGTACATGTATGCAAATGGTTTTGTACATCATTTGGCACAATTTTCAGTTGCTTTAGTTTTGTTGCTCAAAATGGATTATGTAGTTCCCCATTCTAATAACTTTACACCCAAAGCTATATAAGTGAGCAATCGTTGTGTAGGGCACCACATGCAAAACTGTTCACCAAATTTTCAAAAATATATTCCTTAAATTGCAGTGATGCCCCATTGTTGCGTTTATGGTTCCCACCGGACATGATTTGGTGCCATTTTGTTGTTCTTGTATTGATATTTTGCTATTTTTGTGTCATACAGTGCTGCCTGACTTACTATTGCTTGATTTTGTATTGGGTCTTGAGATCTGAAAAATGCATGCGAGTGATTTCTTTCAACAGTGAACATTACATGCTGGAATATGGAGCTTAGCAAAGATGAAACCGGTGTCTTTGACATGAATAAGTATGAGTTTGCTAAAGAATAACAATCGGTCAGTGAAAATGAGACAAAGTGGGAATGGAGTATTATTCAATATTTGGCAGCTCAGGAGCAGAATTACATTTACATTTTGACAATACAGTAGATCTAAGCATTTTGACTCATGGTTAAAACAATGCTGATTGTACTTTGGTGGCACTGCCTAATTCATTGGTGGAATTATTTGCTTTTGAGACATGAGTTAATAACCTTTGCTATATGCATGAATCGTTTTGAGAAGTGTCCTTACAGTCTTGAGAATATTAAGTATGTTTCATAAAATATGCCAAAGCTCATAGCCAAAACACGTCAGGTTGTGCTCCTCCGTGGCAGACCTCCCTGATCATTAGATCAGGTGCCTCCCCCCACCAAAATCAGGATACTTCTCGGGTAGGAAGGCTGAAATTTACTGCCTCTTGGGAACGAGCAGTAAAAACCCCCCAAATCCACTTGCTTGGCGCTCACGGCCACCTAAGCTGTCACAGCAGCTGGACTGCAGAAAAATTCCCGAGGACAGCGTTATACTAAACGAGACGGAACGCCTATGGATGTCACTGCGCAGTTAGGGGAACACTGGCGGATCACCAGTGACTGGGAGACCCCAGTGACCCCGCCGAAAGCACCCTGGTGCCACAGCTACAAAACAAGAGCCAACGCACACCTCTCCCTGCCAGTGGCCATGTGACCTTCATCCTAACAATGAAACTGATATGTAAAATGTCACAGCCAATGCCAGTAGCTAAAACTAAGAGCTAATGTCTTAATTTTCTTATAAGAACATAAGAAATTTACAAACGAGAGGAGGCCATTCGGCCCATCAAGCTTGTTTAATTCCTTTTCAGTCTGATGTAACATTTTCAGATCTGGTCCAATTTGACTAAAATCGGTAAATCTGGTTTTTTTCTGCAGGGTTTCTGTGATGTACCACAGAATGGTACAGTGATGTATCAAGCACCTGCCCCTCAAAAAGTCTGTAATGTATCTGTGGATCAGACCTGCTTCACAGAGTTTCTGTTACGTATCTGTAGATCAGACCTATTCCATAGCATTTCTGCAATGAATCTGTACATCAGACCGGTTCCACAGCGTTTCTGTTACGTATCTATAGATCAGGCCTATTCCATAGCATTTCTGCAATGAATCTGTACATCAGACCGGTTCCACAGAGTTTCTGTTATGTATCTGTAGATCGGATCTGTTCTATATGGTTGTATGTAGATCAGATCTGTCACACAGTTCTGGCAGAGAGTGGGCAACTTGCATTGTGAACAGAATTCCCTGTTTAATCCCACACATACACAGCTTTAATGGGCCGATAATGATTTTAACTTAGTAACTGCTTCCATGAATAGATAATTCAATACATATTAACTGCACAAGTTTAACAAATATTCACTCAGCAGTTCATTTTGGGTTTTGGGGGTTTGGTTAAGCAGGTGTAAACAGGCCTTCTGCGGTTGTCGGTGTGAGATAATACCTTTTGTTCACATTCAGTGAAACAACATGGGGATATTTAAATAAAGTAAGTCAATCCAAATAGCTTAAAGCAGTGTTTCCCAATCCGGTCCTCGGGGACAGACAGTCGGTCCAGGTTTTTGCTCCCTCCGAGTTCCTTGCCAGACAGCCCACATTTTTTTGAGTAAAAACGTGGACCGTCTGTGGGTCCCTGAGGACCGGATTGGAAAACACTGGCTTAGAGTGATACACAGTGATGTGACTCCCAGAGCTGAAAGAAAAGAATAATCAGGCAGATAAAGTACTGATGTCACAGCGGAAAGGAACGAGCATCTCAGTGATGTACAGCCTTGTCATTCCAGGAGAGCAACAGACCATTTCACAGATAATGGCACAGCAATAGCCGAAGTGCCTTCCCATTTGCCACGTGTCGCCTTTGCGGCGTTCCCAGAGCGCCGGAGAAGGATCCAGCAAAAGCAGCACAGGGGACTCATGAAGCACCAGGATCTGCTTGCTGCTGAAGTGTTTCTGCAGTACAGTTTTACAATTAACTGGAATTATATACAAAAATAGAGAGTATCACTGAACACTTACATCAGGAATTTGTGCAATTTAAGAAACATGACTCAGCTCTCGCTATTACATCGTTGGGCTTCCGGCACTTTCAGCTAGGCAGTCGCAAATACGCCCTTTCCGGCAGATTCTCATTTCTAATTACCTCATAAGTTGTTCTGATTATGAACATTACCAACACTCAACAGTGGTTATAGCTTAAGCGCTTCTTGCACTGATCTTATGCCTCAGCCTGCCTGTTCCAGCAGCTCCCTGATCACATGACCTCCCCTCTCAGCCCATACTCTCACACCATTGGTCACATGCAGAACATTCAGTCGTTATGCTTCCACAGCACAGCAATCCAGCTAAACAAGGAACTGTAGTCTGAGGTCAGATACAGCAGTTTAGTAGACGCTTAAACTGACGTTTATATTTTAACCAGAAAAATAGGGCTCTGAGGTCATAAGACATTTATACTCCTGTAACCATGTTCAGAACTATGGGTTAGTGCTCTGTGAAGCTCTGATCTCACTGTGAAAAATTAGTAACTGGATCAATTGGCAACAGGTCCATGACTAAAGGCACTGCAGTGAGCAGATGTACGAAGCCTGGGTCCTCGTTTTCTCCTACTGTTTCATGGAGCATTGCGGGGATTGCCTTGTCAGAAATGCTGATAACTCTGGAGAGGACTAAATCATGAGGGGGGTGTCTGGGGGGGGGCATGTCAAGCCCTCCCAGGGGGCTGAAAGAATATGGGCCTACAACCTTCCTCCTGAGCTATTCTCTCACCAGGCGGCCATCTCTGCCGCAGACGTCCATGATGTCTGCTCCTGAACCTACCGGAGAGGTTTATAGGAGCATTTGTAGAGTGAGAGTACTAGCAGAGTTGGACATTACTGGGGCAGAAACAGAGTGGGGTATTAGCAGCAAAGGGGTATTAGTCGATTGGGGTAGAAGCAAAGCAGTATCAGCAGGCTGGGCTATTAGCGGCGTAGCTTACAAAACTCACTGCATAAGAGGCCCTTCTGCATCACAACAAACCCTGGTATACATGCATGTAGAGGTCAAGGGTCAAAAGAGGGGCAAGGTGTAGAAAAAGCCACAAGGTGCCCCGTTTAACTTTCCTCAACATGTGGAGCACACATGGGGGGCAATTCCAGCAGAACCCCTGCCCATGCATTCAGTTATACAGTACCTGCTGATTGCACATTGAAAGCCTGACATCTGTACCCTTGACCAGCGCATACTGATAACTGATTACTGAAGCAGGTTTGCGTCAGTCTGCTCCTCTGCACTGCAGCACATCCCAAACTGGAATCTGAACCAGCCGCCATTTTAGTTACTGGTCTTGGATCCTTTCCCACTTCAAAGGAGGAGCGAAGGTGTTGCGGTTTAGTGCAGGGTGACGCGAGTTCAGGCCGTAGCCCCTGCCTTCCTTTAACACCACTGAGGTTGGGTGTCAGTTTATCGGCATGCAAAGCTGCCCGGCAGGCATCAACTGCCAAGCGGGATAATCCAATCAGGACCTGGTGACTTTCACTCACCCGCACTCGGGCGGGAGAAGGGTCGCCTTGTCGATGAGGTAAAAAGGCTTTTAATGAGATTTGAAGCCGGCCACAGCCTATGCTGTACCAGTACCATTGGGCCACAAAGGGGGGGTTAATGTTCATTATTCCACACAATGAAGGGTAACATATAGCACCCCAGGCCAACCTGAGCAGACAATGGGAAGCAAGTCAGGGAGGTGGGCAGAGCTGGGGATTCGCACAAACAAGTATGGAGGAGACAAGGGCACAGGTCAGCTGGTAGAGAAAACAGAAGGCAGCATTTTGCAGCAGGAGAGCCCAAGCTGGCCATCTCCGTCGTCTGGCGTTCTGCAGACCATGGCTAAAGCCAGGCTGATGGTCTGTCTGACACGGTGGTCCTCAGCCAGTCCCACACAATGGAGCGCAAGGCTGTCGCCATGACGATCACTGTTTGTTAGGCAGCGTTACAGAGCATGCCCCAGCCGGCTGGCTACACGCATCCAGGCTCAATGGAGTATCACACACCACTGCATTCCACGTCCAGAATCTTAGGAAGCACCCCAATGCCGATCATGTGACCTTCACAACATCTGACATAAAGCAACTTTTGATTATTACACCTGAGATGCAGGTGAAAATACATCAAAGCAATATCACCCTGGATGCATAATTGAGGGGAAAAGCAGACAAAGGTGCTCCTGGTTACTATGTTCAAGTCTCCAACTTCGGATTCACTGTATATGAGTCCTGGTCCAAGACACCCTTTTTATTTTAGTCAGTAGTATCCCGCTCCTGAAGATGAGGGTAAACCCATCGGAAATTCCGACAAGAGAGAAGCTGCCCGCTGTTCCATGTCATACCTAGAGAGGGCATATATGTCTTGCCCTGTGCCTCTAGATCAGGGGTCTCAAACTCCAGTCCTGGGGGGCCGGAGCTCTATGTAGCCACAAATGATTCAGCCCAAGAGCTGTGTGGTAATTAGCACAAGGAGTTGAATCAGGTGTGCTAAATGAGGGTGAACCAAAAACTGTGTAGGGCTCCGACCCCCAGGACTGGAGTTTGAGACCCCTGCTCTAGACACTACCACTGGTGAATAAACTTGCTGAGTTATATGAGTGGGACCATTAATGGGGATCTTTTTAATGACATAATCTACATGGAATGCAGGCGTCGTTTCCTAATTCACTCTTTAGTAACTCAAAAATAGTGTAAAGCATCCATGTTCCTCCCTGCATTTGCTCCAAAGTTCTTTCCTTCAGAGTGACAGCAGTAGCATGTCAAGGAAACAGATTCCTTATTCCCCAGTTCACTTGTCGGAATGTAACCGGAACCTTCCGAGGAACTCCTCCAGCACTGTGTTCAGCAAGGGGATCCCTGTTGGGGCAAAACCATGAGCTACAGTCCCACCGTCCTGAACCCTGAAAGCATCTTAAACAGAGGCTCTTTATTTTTGTCCTGTAGCTACATAAAATGCACTAGCTACGCATGTCAGCAAATTGCCATTGCAATTAAATCCAAATAAATCTCCTTCTCCTTACTCTGTCGTTTTCGATTATCTGAGCGGCCGACACGCTGAGTCGGCCCGGTTGTGATTCTGTAGATGCTGACGCTACTGCGGGAGTCCCTGTCTGTTCAGGTCTCCGGCAAGCTCTCCTTGTCATGTTTCAGAGAGAGCAGCAGGCTGGGAACAATGGTGAGCATCAACCAGAACCTGCCACAATGCTACTGCACTCCTGGCAGGTGGGTCTGGTTTCTGTCCCTGAGGCCCAGGAGGAAACAAAGAGAAACGTATGTCACAGCAGACACGAGGAAAAACTTCGCTTCTGCTTTCAGACAGCTTCCTAATTTTCTCCATTTGAGGGGAAGATTCATGCTGTTCATTTTTTTTCTCCTTACTGTCACAAGCTTGGACACAGGATACTTTTCAATATAAAACTAAAGCAAGAATAATAAAATGGTCGTATCAATTGCAGGGAGCAAAAAAAAAACACCATCAGCATAATCTTACAACAATATAATATCTCCTTTGGACTGTTTTTGAATGCATTTCTAGCTCATTTCAAGCGGGAAAAATCAAAATAGGACGTCGTGCACAGAACACATCTCTAGTTAAAAGTCACCGCAGCATTTACACTCACACATGCTGTGCTCATCTCTCTGAAAGTACATTCACTAAGTCATCTTTCAAACAATAAGGAGTGGCATTGTAGATGACTGGACTGGCAAAGATCTTACCAGACAGCCTTTAAAACACAAATGGGCTGCACATGAGGTAATGTGCCGTATCGCAACCAGAGATAAAAGCAGGCCGTGATTCACCACCTCTGTGTGGTCCAAAAACACAATGAACAAACAATGACCTCATTGCTCTTTCCCCCAAATCAGCTGGCTCAGGCGATGAGGTCACCTAAGATTGTGGAGACCAGGAACCGGTTTGACCTCTATCTCACTCTAACATCTGCCAACTTCTCTGACCATTCACTGATGGCAGACGACACCTCCCCGAACCGAGCTTATGCAGGACAAGGAAGAAACCAAAGAAGACTTTGACAAGGAGTTGTTGAATGCTAAACGAAGACGTTACTCCCAAACTAGATGTGATATTCAGTGATGTACCATGTGTTGCAAGCAGCTGTCTCTTCATTTCAGCCTATTCCTCATTAGAGAAGCTCTACTAGAGAAAGATCTGGGTTTTGGGATTTTGGTGGAGCATGAGGTTGCCTGCTGTGAATGTGGGCAGCTGTGGCTGCGAACCCCTTCTGCTGTCGCACATGCTGAACCCCACATTGCTCTCAGCCTCTCCCTGACACCTGGAGCACGGCTGGAACGGCTGCAGCCATCATCTCGGCATTTCTCTCCGCACCCACAGGTTCCTCCCCAACTTCTGCTCCCACCCCGAGCCAACACCAGAAGGTAGACTAGAATCGTCCATATCCCAAACTGTATCTTTAGCCTTCGATTCCAGGATCTTTCCTGGCTGTGAGTTCTGGAATACTGGAATTAAAACAGTCGCAGGTGCTGGGAAGTTGGTGCTTTGGCAGACCGACAGGAATGACGAGTACTGCCTGGTTGGTGCCGGAAAACCCCTTTGGAAAACTACCCAGTCTTAGTTCCTGGTTCCGTAGCTCAGAGATTTGCTTTAGCTTAGAGTCCATAGGCAGGTTTCCTACATGCAGATTGATCCATTAAAGATCTGCAGCAAGAGGTGAAGAAAGACACTGTGCTTTGTTTCCACATCTACACTGACAAACAACCCCCATCTATAGCATGTGCTCCCCCAGTCCCACGGGCATTCCCAGCTAAATCCCAGACTGAAATAGCTCTCGACCCATATAGCTCTGTCTCACTGTAGCTTCCCTCTGCTGGCAGTGTCCATGTTCAGACCAGACCATCCCGATCAATGGTCATAAATAGACCACCGACTCCACAGTCGCCGTGTTTCAAGAGACAGAAGGAGAATCAGCACGAAACTCCAGAATTAAGTAAGTAAGCGCCTATTACTGTTTTCTGATGGTTAACGGAGATGGTGGATATTCTCAGCACCAGCGAAAGTGGTCTGTATTTGTAGGTTCGTTTTGGGTATGCAGTTACCAACGACATTGATTCTACACAGAAGTATAGATCAGCCTTAATGCCATTAACCCAGTGACTTCAAGGTCAAAGTCTGAATGATCAAGGGCAGGGAAAAGACCTGCCCATAAGATCAAAAGGCCCCGTTCCCCAGCCCTGAGGAAGTGTCATCCTCCATTTCCCAAACGAGATCATGTGAGGCGGGCTTCAGACATGGCACTAGGCTGGCACGCAGCCAGCTGCGCAGTAGCCAGCGCATGTAAATGTGGCACAGTTTGCATATGCGCCACCAGTGTGGGGACATGGATGAATGCAACCTTGTGGAGAAAGCTGAAGGGGGGGGGCATGGGCTGGACCTTGTCATCGGTCCAGCCACTTCATTACTGTGTCTCGTCCTGATAATCTATAGGCAACTCCGGGTGCCGCTGAGGGTGAATAATTGTACCCTGCCCAAAACCCAGGATCCTAACAACAGATTTTGCTCTGCCCATTGGTTACAAAATAACCCTCTTAAAGCTAAAGTTCTGCGAATTATAGAATGCGAGACGTGGGGTGCTAATCAAATCTACTCTAATTTAATTCTCACACAATTCCATTTTCCTCCACGCCGCTTAGGCCATGTGAGACAATAGTGTTTGTGATGTCATTTACAAGTCTAATGGCACATTACCACTGGCATACAAGAACCAGACCGTAGCCGACCCATACCGCAAAGAAAGACTAGTTATATTGCATTTATAGCTCATTTCGATTTTCCACTGCAGAGGGTCGGCTTGGTAAAGGCGTTGCCAGATTTGGAGAGCGAGGGTGACGTGAAACCAAAGAGACGAGTGTTTACTGTTCACACGGTGTACATCATGATTTATTATGTGCCAATTTCCACTTGCACGTCTGTGAGAATCACCGTGTTATGTCATCATCAAACGCTAACAAGATTAGCATTCGCTTGCGCAAATTTGCATTACGAATCCAATCCATTCCACAGTACTTTTTCATATAGGAGGTTGGAAATTTTCCAAGTTGAATTATCGGGAATGCATCAATATATTGCGATGTGAGATACTACTGATAGCGAAAATTGTATAGATGCATATAGACATAGATCACTGGTTACTTCTTGCCTGTCCAATTGACCAATCATATGGTGGTGATGTAACCAGGTTGGTTTAGTCACACTTTTGGCGCTGCTGTGCAGGGTCATGTCAATGCGGGTACGGGTCGGGTACAGCTCATGTAAGTTACAATAGAAAACCATCTCTCGGGTATGGCTTGGTTCTCGGTGGCAGTGAAAAATCGGCATAGTAAGATTTACTTGGAAAGCCAGGAACAGTAAAGAAAAGATGTTTAAGAGGATCAGGCAGACAGGCAGCTCCCAAAACTTATACAAAAGCACTTACAGAACTGACAGAAATCTCTAATTGAGGGATAAACACTATAAACTTTAGTTAAAGGCATGACCTGTTCATTCTGCCCCGCTCTGCGCAGCCGGAGACTCTTGAAAAACTCAAGAGGCTTGGCGATAAATGAATTCACTCGCAAAGGCTTCCTAGCACAAGAGTGGACCCACTTCGTCGCTTGTCCACTGAAAAACGACAGCGCAGATCGGCTGCCAACATCCTCAGAGCTTCCTCTCCTGGCTTTCCTGTCCAGAGCCGTTAAATGGTCATCCAGTCTGAGCGCTACTCTACCAGACACTGCCTTCCCTGGCCCGCGCTGCATTTTCAATGCCTGGTGGTGAAGATCAGACTGCAGAAAAGCCTGTTTGCAGCCAGCCCATGAAGGAACATTACTTCTGATGTGCCAGGGAAGCTGTCACCATAATAAAGTCCTCAGTCAGGGCTCTGAGGACTCTGTGCAGCCTTCTTTATTTCCTGGTCCAGTTTTCTGGGTCCACTCATGCAGCTGCAGGTGTCACAGTCACCTAGACGCAGTCTGCTCTTATCTGTGGTTTTGCCTGCCTAAACACACCCACTCAGGCATCAGAAAGTCCCTTTTAAAGGCCACTCACAAACAGTTAATTTCCTCTGAAAAAACATAAGAAAGCCAAAGAAACTGGTACGGGCTTGGGTAACACTTTACTTGAGGTGACACTAATTATATAGTGTTATGCTATTACTCATGTATTAATTAACCACAAACTAAGTCTTAGTTACATACTTATCTCATGTTTGTCCATCATTAATAAATTGTGATGCATCTTTTCTCAAGCAGTTACTATATTTGTTACTATATCTGGAAATTATGTAAACCTTTGTGAAGTACGGAAGGTACCACTGAAGGAACAAGTAATGAATAACACAAGTGAAACACTTATCTCATGTTTGTTCATGGTTAATGAATCGTTACGCATGTTTTCTCTTAAGTAGCTATTGTATTTGTTCATGATGTGTCCTTCAGTTGGAACCGAGTTTCTACTAAGTATCTGTGGCCGTTCGAGTGAAATGCTAACAATTCTTCTTACTTACGGAGAAGATTATGGTTATACAAGGAGCATTTACTGGTAAAAAAGAAATGACTGACCCACATTTCAGTTTCACTTGAACAAAGATTCCAGGGACCACAGAGAAATGCCATTTCTAGTGTATTAGCATGTGGGTCAATCTGATGTCATTCCATCTCAGCACCGTGTCAGTTTCACAACACTGCTGAGTCCATGGCAGGAGAGCAGATGGAAGCTACATGCGATCCGCTCGCAGATGACTCAAAGACAGCAGGTCAGCTGACTTCCTTAACACCACTACTGCCTCACTGGCCTGTTGCTCAACTCACTGCCTGAAAGCAGCAGAAGAGCAAACTGATGAGTCAATCAACGTTCCCCATCTCATCCTGCCCCATTTTCACCATAACCAGACAAGAGGAGCCTAATGCTGACATGACGTAGGTTTGGGAGCGCCAGTTCGAACACCCCACCTGAGATGATTTACAGCCAAAACCTGAGGGATTCCTTCCGGATCTCTTGCTCCTACGTCCAGCCATGTTCAACTTAAGGGGTCCATTGAACTGGTTTTGTGTGGAAGGTAGCCTGCTGTCATAGGCTGTCGTTAAAGAGCGGTCCAGCATGTGGAAATGCAGCCCCAAGGCCATAGCCATGCAGTGAACACTGGGGGGGGGGAGCAAGGCCATAATTACAATATATATTGGGGGGGGACATTGTGAACACATCTGAATATTGGGGGGGGGGGGGTGCCCCCCCCACTATATATTATAATTACGGAGTTGTGCAGCCCAATAAAACATCAAACCCGAGCCGAGAATAACGTCAGACGGTGAATAATCTAGCAGTTTGACACTTTCTCAACTAGTCTTCCTCAAATGCTTGATTTTGAATGCTTTCTGACCCTTGGGCCCTGCTCAGCATCCCCAGGCCCCACAAGGTAATTCACCGAGCCGCACCACACTGGGGATCACGTGACTGATATCTCCGCAGCTGTCATGCACAGGGGCGAGAGTGTTTGCCTGAAGGGGTCAGGAAGACCTCCAGAAGGAGCAGACTCAGCTGAGGCGTGTCAAGAACACATCTCTTGGTGTCAGACATCACAGGCAATGTTCCGAGAAGCACAATTAAATCAGGTGTCTATCATCTTACAGCATCCATACCTGCTATCCCTTCACACCAAGGACCACCACTGCAAACAAGGGCACAGGAGATACGGTAGTTTGATATTGGGGAAGGACAACTCAATAATTTAAAGGTAAACATCTATTTATAGGGGGAACGAATTAAGCTAAATTAAATATTGAGGGGTATACATCACTCCTGCCCCCCACCTCAGGTCCTATGCCCCTGTCTGCAGAAGCCTCTGTTCTGTGAAACTTGACATACAACAGCAATGTGTATAACAGTTCATTATCCTGTCAGACCGGACTGCACAGGGATGCCCTGGTCCTCAACACATAGCATGTCTACAGCAGGCAGAATCTGTGGTTTCATATTATGTGTCCTTAAGAAGACCAGTGGAAGAGTGCTACTGCAAAGAGGCCCAGGCTAACTAGGGCGTACCTTATACTCCACTGAGCCCCTTCCGCTCAAAGCCGTGACAGAAACCTTTGACCCCATCACTAAAGTGCTGTGATGCGCTCTACAGAGCTGGTCCTATGCATTCTCTAGAACAGCTTTCTCCAGTGAGAGATATTTTTATTTTTGACAGACAGACAGACAGACAGATAGATAGATAGATAGATAGATAGATAGATAGATAGATAGATAGAAAAAATCTGGGGAACGCCCAATAAGGGGCTGGGGGATTGGTGGGGGCGCCTGTATACGTTATTGATTGGGGGGTGGGATAAATTATTCATTAAATTTCAAAATTACCAGTCAGTGTCATGTGGGCCACTCATTGGCTCCCTGCCAGCTGCTGGTAACTCGCAGGTGACACAATGACTATCCATTGCACTACAAAGTGTTCATTTTGACCAGTTAGCAGCCCATCTTTATGGTGACCCTGGCCTGCTGCTCCCTCCCTGACCTCCATCTTTAGCCCCCAGTGATCTAAAAACAGGTGGTGATACTTTAAACAGGGTATGCTTTCAATTCCAGAAGGTCCCAGAATAGATACTTGCAGTATGTAATTTAAAAGTGCAAGAGAATGAAGACAATGCAGCTCAGAATTGAAGAAAATGCATCTGGAAGCTCTAAAGGAGACAAGCATGCAGAGAATGACCCATTTTTACTTCCGCCCACTTAACCAGGACAGCAGAGTCTGGAGACCCATAGGAGCAGAGAGACAGCCTGGTTCCACTAAAATGGAGACACAATGCCCCACCTCCTCTGTCAGCAGTAGGTCAAGTTACACTCCGAGTCGAGGTGCAGATCCCTGATTAGGCCAGTTGATTGTCCATCACCATATTCTACACTTCCATCTATGGTGCTCCAGCTTCCCTTCGCATTCCCTCAACAGTGAGGTCACTCTTCAGCGAGGGTCCAGGGGAAACCAAAGGCATCTGCCTGCTCGGTCAATGTAGACACCCCTTCAGCTATATTTCCACCCACTAACAACAGGAAGAGCTTGTCAAAAAAAAAAATTTAAAAATGAAAACACAAGGGAGACAGGAAGACAGAGAAGCCCAAGACAGCTCAGTATAGTAATAAAAACTCACCAGTCCTGCACGGACTGCACCATGCTCACTATACCCCCCCCCCCAAATCCCCCAAATGTAGCCTCCTGCTGAATGTACTCTCACTTCTCCACCTAAACCTGATCCGTACCCCATAAGCTGAGGTCATATCAATACAATCATCTTTACCTTCTTCATAAGATCCAGGGCTGCTCTCAAGATATTAGACTCAGCAAAAAAAAAAATCTGGTGGAAGTGTGTTTTTGCTTATTCTCCATCTGTCATGAGCATTTTTGCATCTTTTCATACCGGACTTTCATCGCTTTCCATGCTAATTCATATGTCCCCTTTATTGCGGTTATACTGAGCCAAACAGCAGATACTATGCACACTGCAGTACATGTGGGCATCGTCCTCTATCTGGCCAGAACGTTTCTCTCTACCTCCCATGCTCCTTCAGCCTTGGGATGCAAGGTAAGAGAAAATAAGACGTATGGCATGCAGTTTTACCTGAGCAACACACACAGTACAAGCTAGTTCAGAAGACAGGGAAATGACTGAAGCCCAACATAGGCATTGGCTGAAGATGCCTCACCAGGCACAAATGCACCAGACTTTTTTGGGGGTTGGGAGTGTGCAGCTTCTATTTGCACAAGCCTTCTGCTAAGCTAACGGCCATTATATATCCACGTGCCTGAGCTGTGTATAAGCAGATCGGGCAGCAGGTGACTGAGACCGTCTCCCTCATATGCCATCTTCTGTTACCAATCCAATCCCCTACCTTTGACCAGGAATCTGCATTTGGTTATTCAAATAATCTCAAATCTTAAAAACACGGTTTAAAAAAAATAATAATCTGTGCCCGAAAAATTCATCATAAAATTTCCCCGTGAATTACTCTCAGTAGCATGTGCGCAGACTAGAATAAGGAGACCGGACTATAGTCTGAGCAGCGGTGTGTGTTTGGACGACCTCTTAATCCTAATGAACAAGAGCACGGCGAAACCACAGGGCATCCACGCGATTCACATTTTCATCATGCCCAAAGGTTAAATAATAACATTTAAACACTGTAAATGCTGCCTGCAGGGGAATTTCAACAACCTAATCCTCACTGCGGTGTACGAATATTAGTATTTTATATAAATCAATCATGATGTGTGATGAAGAGAAAACTCGCATGCATTTAAGTATATGTTGTTTGCCAACTATTTGACGTTGTTTGCCTTCATTGCTAAAAATGACACCATTAATCATCAAAAACAAGTTTGTGGGAAAAGCACGCAGCACACAGCTGACAAATATACAAATAGAAAGCACGCACCATTTCAGCATCTAAACCACATCAAGGCATGTTCTGGAAAGAGCTTTGCGTTTTAATTTGAAAAAATAAGCCGCCACTCCCAATTCCCATAATTTCCCCATTATTATGTATCACACAAAACAAGATTCAATTTGTTGTTTTTGAAAAGTTTGAATGCAAGCTCGTTTACTGCAGTGATAAAGCGTTAAGTCTCTCCCGCTGTCGGCTGGCTCGTTGATCTTAAAGTAACTATTACAGTAAAGCAGCCGCACTGCGAGCTCCTATAATAACTATTACAGTAAAGCAGCCGCACTGCGAGCTCCTATAATAACTATTACAGTAACGCGGCTGCGCTGCGATCCCCTGTAGTAACTGTTAGAGATCCTATAACAACTATGAGAATAACGCAGTGACACTGCGAGCTGCGCTGCGCGCTCCAATAAAAGCTATGACAGCACCGCGGCTGCACTGCGAGCTCCTATAATAACTATTAGAGTAAAGCGGCGGCACTGTGGCTTCTCTAAAAACTATGAGAGCAACGCAGGTACAGTAAATGCAGGGCTTTGCAATGTAGCGCAACCATTCACCTGCTGCCAGCTGTCTTCCAGGGAAGGCATCGCGGAGAAGTAGCCCGTGTCATGCACGAGCTGGAGTTCCTGAAAAATACTATAATTCGCCAGCACGTCCATGCTGCTTCTCGATGTGAAAATTCACTTTGATCCAACTGAAGACACTTTTGCTTCTCTGAGAAAAAAAAACAAAGAAACCCTTCAGGTCCACCTTGCTCCCCGACACAAATATGCACGCATATGTACCAATATAACTGGTGTAAATAATGTGGAAAAAAAGAAAAGTATGTTTTTTGAGTCCTTAAAATTAAATCCTAATTTCCGAAGTAAACACTCTGGTTCCCAGTCCACCAGTCGGACGCAATTTGGGTGACATGAAATCTCCGTCTATTTCCGCATGGGCAGATTGCGATCTTTTCTCTTTAAATTCCAGACTTTTTTGGATGCTCTGGTTCAGCAGAGAAGTAGCAGCGCTTGCTTTCTACCGAGGAGCGCGAGCCAAGGCAGCCGGGGGGTGTTGGGGGGAGGATTCTGTCAATCAAATCTGTGCGTGGCCATATAAGGTAAATAGGGTTGATGATCTCACTAAGCAACCAATTAGGGCGGGCCAAATGTATCTTATGGGTGGAGTTAGAGATGGAAGAGCAGCATGATTGGTGATGGTTGCCTGTCACTCTGGCCATATTTGGCTGCGTAAGATGAGCTATTTTTAGTGGCCTATATAAATACAGCAGCAGCGTTCGTGGAGCGTTAGAATATGAGCAGGTTTGGCAGTGGACGGGAGCGGGTGCTGTGCGCTGTGAACGTAGAAATAGCCTCTCAGGCCCGATCATTTTGCACATGGTTTTCTGGCTTCATAAATTTGTAAGATACCTGTTTTAAACATTTAATATCCGTGCACCGGAACAGCTAAATGTTGGTAACCGATTTTCGCGTAGAAAATAAACACATGCTTTCCGTTTATAATAAAATCTCGAATAAATGAAACTATAAATGACAGTCTCATTCCTCGTATTTCTGATTGTTTAAAAAGGTTCCCTGCGAATCGTTTCGAATTTGCGGCTTCCCGTCCATGATGGCACCTGCCTCGTGCCCTGTTGCTTCCTGGGATTGGCGATTATGGAACACACCCTGTGAATAGATGGATGACATACAAGTAATAATATTAATAACATTATTATTGGACCCTCAATGATAATAATGCCTTGTGATGGATTGACATCCTTTTCAGCCATGAGTTGTGTGTGGGTTGTGTGCACAAACTCCCCTGAACTCCACCGTCAAAACACTGTTAATGTAATAAAGTGAATATGTCTGTCAACTTCTCTACACTTCCCTCCCTCCAAAGTTGTATCCCTGTCCTGTCATTGACTTTTGAGGATCATCTTAATCTTAGCAATATCCCCATGATGCCATATTTTGGCCACTTATTGATGATAGTCTTCATGGTGCTCCACTGTACTTCTGATGTCCTTGATATTCTTTCATTTCCCTCTCTGAACAGTACCTTTCAACAATAATATCCTGTGGACATGTTGTTATTAGTTCCTTGCAGGCCATAGCTATCCCTGTATGGCACAACCATGCAAGTTTTAAGGAAATTCTACAGGAGCAGCTGATTTTCATTTGGGCTTAATCAGAATCGCTTTCATCGACTGCAGGTGCATGCTCCTTACCTTACGGCATGATTTTAAATGCGATTGGTTTCCTCTGCTGCATCCCCCCTTATTAGACTGTGCACTTATACAACAAAGGCGTTGCATATTAATTATGCTTCTAATGATCTATTTGTTTTTTTTTTCATGAAATTTGTTGGTTACAAGGTCACATTATGGAAAATGTCTGACATTATTTATGGCTTCATTTCATTTCATTTCAAAACCTGCAATTACAATAAGTGTGTGTAGATTTTGTATATTCACGTAGACTTCTCTACACACCAAGGAAACCTGTGTAATTGTGTTAAAAATTGTATTAGTTTGCATATGTATCTTTATATTGTGCGTTTGCATTTATTTGTTAATGCTACAGGATTGTAGCTTTATAATGGAAGTATCTCAGGCTTAAAGCAGAGGTTATCTTTTAAGATTATGTGGGATCATCTATCCATTTTTTTCATAGAAGTTAATCATTTCCGTAATTCACACAAAAGAAAACTCATGCAGTATGTGTTCCTGTGGTAACTTTATGGGGGAGTCACTGGACTGGAATGACCGCATTATTCGTACCAACATAAAACTGCAAAACATTTTTCACTGTAAAAAATGCCAATTAGCTGTGTGAAAACAGGCAGATTTAAAGAAGTTGCCACTGTCTGAGCCAAAGATTAGACATTTTGAATAGACCATACTGGCACAGGGGTTCATTCTATCATGAAAGCAGCATTGTTAATAGTAGCTTGCAGTATTTCATGGAAATAGATGCACATAAACACATGCCATCACGTCACAAAGTACCATTGTCACACTCATCTGGTCACCAACAGTCAGCAAGAATGCCCTGTAAACTAGAAACATGGAGGCAGGAACCTTTAACACACAAATTCAGAGTATGTGGTACAGAAGCTTGTGAGGAAACTGAACAACGTTACATTCCATTTGCTGTTGAGAAGACCACTGAACAACGCCACTTCCCATTTGCTGTTGCGAGCACCACTGAACAACGCCACTTCCCATTTGCTGCTGAGAATTCCACTTGCCAGGGACAAATTACTGTGCTAGGCATCTGTACAATCAATAAACCACCATATGGGTGTGATTACGGTGACATCACAGTAAAGTTTGATCATTAAGGCAGAATTTCATTTGAGTAATATGATTATTTATATGGGTGCTGCTGTGATGCTGATAGAAATATATATTGCTTTGTCCTAAATGTGCTTATTGATCTGTACACTACATTGCCTGTGATCAAAAGAGAAGCTTGGGATTTGCATATTGGTGTCCGGAGGGTTTCTGCAGGCAGCCTTTGGGCCTGTGATTAACGGAGTGAGGAATTGGCATGCCAACTATGTGTACTCACCATAATTCCAGTGGCCCTTGGTGCCTGTATAGCAGGATGCTAATGCAGTAGGATGTGAGCCAGCTGTGTATGTATATTTCTGTGGGCTTGCATGTATGTTTCTATGCTTGAGTATGTGGTAGGAAAGTATCCCATCTGCACATTATAGCCATGGCATTCAAATGACAAATCGACACACGGGTGAACCCCTACTCCACAAGCTCCACAGAGGCAATGAAAAATGCATCACATTCTGCCATATATTTTCAGTCCCGGTTCTATGAAAGTGCTTATGTTAGTTCAGGCAAGTCATGTGACAGCGGGCCGAGGACTCACTCTAATTATACAGCTGAATTAGTCTATTAAACACTACTAGTTGCAATATCTGTAGAAAATGTTCTGTTTATTTAATCATTTGGAATAATAACGAAACAGCGTCAAGCAATTTGTCAGTCGCTGTTCAATGGCTTAAATAATAATTGAACCACTAAAATAATCAGTGCCTGCATTTATTATTATTTAGGGAAGAAAACAGAAAGGTTTCCCTGAATGAAAAGAAATTTAAGTTTAATCAAAAGGGGAGTCAAACCTGTTTTAGCTCAGACATTTGATCTGAGGCTTTGTGAATTGTGTCATTCAGGAGGTTCATTGGCAGGCAGCAAAGCAGGAAAGAGAGTGACGATCTGCTGAGGATGAAGAAGCACCATCGCGACTCTGCTTGTGGAACAGTTGCTCTGATACTCATGGATGTGGCAAATGTAGTTTGGGGGAGCTCTGTCCTTTAAAGTACGTGAGAAAAATGTAAAATGAAAATGCCTGCCCCCCCCCCCTCCCCCCTCCCCCGAGACTGACCCTGACCTTTTGATGGGCTGTCCTTAAAGTAGGCAGATATCATATCACATATATCGTCTTCTGGAGATTTATATTTTAAAAAATCACAATTGGAAGATTAAATAATGACTGCTCATATTAATAATCCAGAATGAACAAAATGGCTAATGAAATGCCAGGGATGATACTTTCGGTGATAAAGGGAATACATTAATCTCTTCCTCCAGCCTCTTTCAGCGAAAAGCTTGTGAAAAAATTATAGACTGACTTCTGTGAATTTGTTAGTGACGAAAAAGGGGATGTTACACCTCCCCCCCCCCCCCACAGTTCCTCTTGCAGCTTCCATGGAAATGAGGCAGAGAATTTGCAGGTTTAGAGAGGGAGAATCAGCTGTAGTTTAAAGACACCCAGGACTCCCGTTAAATAAGTAAACAGGATGAGGGAGCGAACACAGCATTTCTGAATCTGAATGCGTGTAAAAGCCTCTCCCGATTTGCTGTGGCTATCTTAGTTTGCTCACACCAGTCTGTGCCTAAGCCTTTTCTAATTCATTTTTACCCNATGCCTTAGGGAAATATGGAGGTGTAATCTCATTTACCCTTTGGTCGGATGACAAGCCAGACTGAGCACTTTAACCAATAGTTTGTGGGCAAGAAAAGGAGGTTTTGCCTTTGACATGGTACCCAGCATCTCAGCTACTTCAAAGGGGAGGGATTTGATGGCTTCAGACACGGACCGTGGGATCCTTTTGAAAAAGAGGGACCATAGACGGTGCTTATAATCAGTAACCTCCAAGGTGCCGGAGCTCGTAAAGATCACAATGACGTGACGCACACATCAGTATTTAACAACGATAATGTGCTATCGATTACTTAAACACGCAACAATACACGTATCAACATCTGTTATTTACGTCTAACTTTTCATCTTTGTTGCCTTCTGCCTGCTTCTTTTTGCGATCCTTCTCGTTAGCATTAGCATCCACATTAGCTCCTCTCCTCACTGCTTGTTCTTCCGCGGCTCTTCTGGTTCATTTCTGCTTTGCTTGGGTTCCGATGGCTTTGTTGCTTTGTCAAAAAAAAAAGAGAAAAACTCTTTTCAACATTTTCTTTTAATTGTTTTGCTGTAAAGACCTGGAGTGTAACCTCACCCATTTTACTGGCTGGAAAGTGGATTTTTATTTGTAGCGCGGTGTAGATTTTCACTTTCAAATTAAGAGTCAGATAAGCAAAATATACTAATTTAGGCAGATATATTTTAAAAATCATACAATGCAACTGATTGTATAAATATAGATTTCTTTAGTATAATTTGCATTTATTCCAAAGTTTAACTCAAGCTCTGCTCTGAGCCAGAGGCCGCTGTCAGAGATTAACTACAGGTCATACAGTCGATTGAGTCCATTTCTCTATTTTGTTTTGGAAATACTCATTTAACGCAAAAAAATGGATATAATTCAGGCTTTTCTAAAATTTGATTGGTTTGCGTTAAAACATTTGCAGGTGATGTTTTCTTGATTGTTCGTCACTGCATTCTTCCCGCTTCTGCGGTCTATGGCCTCAGAGTTTGATTATTTCATGCTATGTATGTGATGGGCAGGCCACTTCTCTGCCAACCTGCTGACCAGCTCTCAGTCAGCCTGGTCCATACTGTGGACCATACTGTACATATCGTGAGAGGGCAA